TATATATATATATGTATGTATGTAGGTCTTTTCGAGACAGGGCCTCCCTATAGCCCCAGCTGGCCTGGAACTCACTATATAGACCAGGCTGGCCTTGAACTCACAGAGATCCACCTGTCTCCACCTCCCAATTGCTGGGACATATGGGTGTGTGCCACCACGCCTGGCTACATTCTGTATTCTCTAGAGCAACAGGAGTATCAGAATATCACTATTGTCCACATCAAAAAAATAGTTCGTGAGTGTGTATGTGGCAGGCAGATGTCTACCTCAGGTGCCTTCTCCAGTTGCTCTCCACCTTACTTTTTGAGACAGGGTCTCAGGCTGAACTTGGAGCACATCTATTTGTCCAGACAGTGAGTCTCAGGGACTCTCCTGTCTGCCTCCTCAATGCTAGGATTACTGGCATGTACCCTCATGCGTAGCTTTTTCCATGGGTTCTGAGGATCAAACTCAGGTGTTAATGCCAACTGAGCCATCTTCCCCACCCTCACTGTCCATATTTTTAATGCATGTATCATTTTGTTTACTGACAGCTAATGAAACTGGACGTGAACACCTAATTGTTCCTTGCTCAGTTTTCTTTATTTTATAGAATTTTTTGAAAGGCTGCCACAATAATGGTTGGTATTAAGGATGTATTAACCCACACTGGTATTTAGTAATTGGGCACTCACAATGTCTGCTAGAAGTAGACTAAAATGCAGAGAAATAAGATTATGTGGTTTGCAGTTTGTTTTAAAGTCCTCCAGTGGTGGAAGGAGAGAGTATTGATATAACAAGCTTGCCACGCAGCCTGGTCCTTTCCAGAGGTCAGAAATGCCAAGTGTTTGGGGTCTGTTATCTCTGATCTGGTTCCTAAGTGATTTTAGGGTTACTTCTTCAAAGGGGCAGGGAATGTTAGAGTAGCAGTAAAGGCCCATTAAGAGAAAAGTCCTTTTGGTCAAGAGAATAGAATTTCTAGTCTAGGTGGAGACCTAACATTCCAGCTGGACAGAGTCTATAACCTGACTAAGGAACCTCCCCGAGCAAGGTGGATTCACCTTAAGATAGGAGGAATAGTCATTCCTTTAATGAGATACTGTAATTTTCTTTCCCACAATTCCTGCCTTTTGGCCAAGTCCTTAACTGACCTACCATGAGGTTTGGTTGGGTTTTCTTTTTCTCTTTTCTCTGTCTTTTGTATGCTGGCCAGAACCTAAGGATGCTTTTTCTGATATTTTGGGCTTTCGTACTCTTCCTCTAAAGTCCCCCTTCCCACGTGGGGGAACGCGACTATCAGGGGCGTGGCTCCCCAGGGTCAAGGGGATCGGATGCCCCCCAAGTCCCAGTGGAGGGGTCAGGGGAGGATCAGGCGCATGGATGCTCCCCAAGCCAGCCTTGGGGTTTGGGCGGGTGGAGGCTGCGGGTGGGTCAGGGGCACCAACCCCCGGTCTCAGCGGTGGATGCGTGGGAGCAAGAGCACCGAGCCCCGCTTCAGCAGCACCCGCACGGTCCCGGGGGTTCGCACGCCGGAGGCGCACGGCGTGGGGATGGGCGGGCCTGGCCAATCGCAGACAAAGGCCGCCCAGAGGATCATGTGGTGCAGTGGGAGGAAGTGCGGCTGGTTTTCCCGGCTGCGCTCGGGGTCGGCGGCTCGGCGCGATGCGCTGGGACCCAGGTGCGGGCGGTGGGGCGCGCGGATGAAGCCCCGGCCCGATGGAGGCATCACCGTGGGAGCCTGTGAGCAACGACTCGCTGCCGCCCACGCTGAGCCCCGCGGTGCCGCCCTACGTGAAGCTCGGCCTCACGGCCGTCTACACCGCCTTCTACGCGCTGCTGTTTGCCTTCATCTACGCGCAGCTCTGGCTGGTGCTGCGCTATGGCCACAAGCGCTTCAGTTACCAGAGCGTCTTCCTCTTCCTCTGCCTCTTCTGGGCGTCGCTGAGGACCGTGCTCTTCTCCTTCTACTTCCGAGACTTCGTGGCGGCCAACTCGCTCAGCCCCTTGGTCTTCTGGCTGCTTTACTGCTTCCCGGTGTGCCTACAGTTCTTCACCCTCACTCTTATGAACCTGTACTTCACGCAGGTGAGTTCACCACCGGGGCCTCCATCCCCCGACCAGGGATAGAGGAGAGGGTGGGGACAGGCGCGGGTCCCGGGGTCCCACCCTCCCATCTGAGGGCCCTGCTCATGACTGACCCCCTCGCTTAGCCTTCCACCGGGTACCGGGCACCTCCCTCTTCTGCACGCATCAGATTTGGTGTTGATGATGCCAGGGGTGCCCGTCAGGAGTGCCTGAACCCTACTTTCCTCCATCTCGTCCGCTCACCCCCAGGCACTTAACCTCTAACCTCTAGCCTGGAGGGTCATCAGCCTGCTGGCCCCACATTAGGGACCAGACACTGCCTGTTTGGAGTAATGGCAGGGTGGGCCTGGCTTGGTGTTGATGAGATGTTTTGAACCTTCGGGATTAGGCGCCCTGCTGTGCTGTGACTTAGTAACTCATTCCACAGGATTGCTTCACCAGGGCAGTCTGGGGGCACACCCAGGTCCCCAGCTGCTGCAGGTTAGACTTGCTGTCTGAGCTCATCTGAAAGGCCCCAAGAAATAAGCCGTAAAATTGAACCGCGACTCTTTAATGGGCTGACCAGCTTCATTATGAGGCCTGTTAATAAGCTAAAGGGTAGCACGTGAGTTCCTCCGGCTGTTTCTCCACTTAATGATTGCACAGTGATTGCAGAGCACTTTACAGATAAGTATAAAGCATTTCAGGAAGGTTTAATGACACTGAGCCATTGTTCTCGCCTTCTCCAATTCCCATTAGCGTTCCAAATACTAAAATGTTCATTTTTACCACGACTCTGCCCAGGGGGCAGGCACCTACTGTGTCACCTGATGAGGGTAATTTAAACCTCATCTCCTGGACTACTGACCTGTGCCTTTGAACAGTATCTGTTTCTTAAAAGTAAACGCCACTGACTGAAAATCAGGAGGAAATACTTTGGGTTAGCAAATAAGAGATGTGTTGAGTGTTGTGGTGCACACCTGTAATCTTTGCACTGGGTAAGTTGGGTCTGAGGATCTGGAGTTCTAGGCTGGAGTAGGGGCAGCAGGATCAGGAATTCTAGGGCAGCTTCTGCTACATAACAAGTTTGAAGCCAGCCTGGGCTACAGAGTAAGACCCTGCCCCGCCTTTCCCAAAATCAGATATAATATTTAGTATATTACATAACTATATATCTATATATTAAACAAGTCTAGCCTCAGAGACTTAGTGGTCTAGTGGGACAAGTGTATTTCCAGTCCAGGAGTGATGGACATGGCCTGTCCAAGGAGCTACTTTTAAACTTGTAAACCAGCCCGGGCCATCGGCTCCATGGAAGATACAGGTTTATTTTTAATCTTTTTAATAGATTACTATGTTTATGTGTATGATTGTACTGCCTGCATGCATGTGAGTGTACCCACGTCATGCAGTGCCCCAGGAGATCAAAAGAGAGCATTGGATTCCCCTGGAACTGGAGTTATGGATGGTTGTTAGCCCCCATGTGGGTGCTGGGAACCACACCCAGATCCTCTGCAAGAGCAGACAGTGCTCCTAACCTCTGAGCCATCTTTCCAGCCCCCAGTCACAGGGTTTTGTAATTGGATGAAAATGGTAATGATTCCTACAAGATGGAAAAGTCAGGTAAGGTGATGTCACCTGGAGAACTGTGGCACAGTGTGTGGAGATCTTGTCTCCTGTCCCTGTTTGAGACTAGTGCCCTGGCAGTCATATGCCAAGCTGATCTGAGAGCCTGGTTAGGGGCCTGCAGGCACATTTTCTGCACCATCTGCTGGTTGGTGAGTAATGCTGAGCAAGGGGAAAAGTGACCAGGCAGATGGAGCCACTGGTCAGGAGGCCCCAAGCCACTACCCTTCTGTTTTTATGTTTCCCTGGTGGCCCAGTGCCACAGCAAAGGGTGTTGTGCCTTAGGGCCCAGGGTGGCTGGTAAGAGACGGTATTGTCTCAGATGTAGACAGAATGGTCACTCCTAGCCTCCTGACAAGGACTCTGACCCTTTTGGAGAGTTAGACAGTGGTAGCCATTGGACTCCAGCATGCTGTGCCACCACACAGGGTTCTCAGCCATCAGGAGTATCTGAAGTGGGGCTCTAAGGATGACTCCCGAGCTCATCTCAGACCCTGTAAATCCAGGTATAGTGAGGGAAGGTAACATGTAACAATTTCTAACAACTTAGAAATGTGTGCTAGCCAGGTATGGTGGTGCATGTCTGTTATCTTAGCACTTGGGAGGCAGAGACAGGAGGATTGACATGAGTTTGAGACAAGCCTGGGCTATATAGTGAGTTCAAGACCAGCCTGACAAAGTGAGACCTATCTTAACACCTCCAAAACTGCTAGATATAGTTGAGGTGATGTCATGTGCATAGGTATGTCATGTGCACAGGTCAGTCATGACTCAAGAGACTGAAGGGAGCAAGGGGCTGGGAGACTTGAGCAGGAATGGGCCTGCGTCCCCAGAGTCAGGCATTCCAAGGTGGGAGGTTGGGTGGGAGAGGGGATGGGAATAATCTGGAAGGAAATTGGAGAGGTGAAGGAAGCCACTTTTCTGTCGTCACACTCCTATGCCCAGCACCTCAAGTCACTTAGCATCTCTCACAGCCCATGTAGAGGGCATGTCCCTCTTCAGAGACCCAGAGGGAAAAGATGCCAATCATCCACAGCGCCCACATCCCACGTGGAATGGTCCTGCCCCTCAAATGCCTCCCTCTGTTTTTGTTCATACTACACAGCAGTTGGAACTCTAGGGTTTAGAGAAGGACGTGTCCTGCTCTCTTAACCCGTCTCCCTCCATCTTCCAGGGCCTCTCGGGCACTGCATCTTGTCTAGTAGCTCAGCCTGTCCGTCCCAGTCCTGCCCTGGCTGACCTTCTGGCGGTGGGTGGCTTTAACTTCATGCTCATCCTCTCTGCTGTCTTCCTTCCTCTCCAGTCTCTTTCAGGAAGAATAGCCACATGGATTTAGGCCCCCTTTCTGTTTCCTTTGCCTGAAGCCTTTGGAGCAGTGAGATCCCCTGTACCTCTCTCTCAGCCATACAGATGTTGAGGTGGGTGCCCACCAGTGTCTTCTCCTGGGACCCCCATCCTGGCCTCTTGCCTTGCCTGCCAGGAGCCTACCACATGCAGAAATCTGAAGTGGCAGCAAGCACCTCCCTCCAGGTTCCTGGGGCCTTCAAACCTCTAGGGCCCAGGCTGGGTGAATTCTACCAGGACTCTCTCCACAATCCACTTTGCTCTAATGTCCATACCTACTGGACTGGCACATTGGCTGGTGCCTGTTGAGGCTCTTCAGGGACCTGGAGTGAGGGTCTGTACAGCTAGTGGATGAATAAGACTGTCCCTCTCTGCCTTATCTTCTGACACAGCTGGGAGGTGGGGAAGCAGTGGCTGGCCTACCAACCAGAGACCCGCTGTGTGAGGGTGTATGTGTGTGCCGTGTGTGTGTGTGTGTGTGTGTGTGTGTGTGTGTGTGTGTGTGCTGTCCCTAAGTATTTGGGCTCCTTTTGGAACACAGGGTTTTGTGGAACTGTTGTTTCCAGTGATGGGTCCCTGTACCAACTCTAGGGGACAGCTGAGCAGGGTAGGACCAGACATACATCAAAGCCTTGAACCTGTGCTAAGTGCCTATGTTAAGTGTCACAGCAGATCACTTTTCATGATGCATTAGAGCAGGGTGGGACTCTGAGACCCAAGCATTCCAGGGTCTCTGAACAGAGGCCATTGTAGTGCTTCCTCCGAAAGCAAAGGCCTCGACTCTGGCATGGGGCAGGTCTGTCTGCAGAGCAGGGCTTGACAGTCATGGGGGCAGTGGACTCTGACATCCTGACTTCTGTGTGTCCCAGTCACTCTTTCTAGAAATTTCTAGTTCAGGATTCCAGTTTTGGAGGCTCCCAAGGTTGGTTGGTCGGAGTGGGCACAGACTTTTCTTGGGCCCTATGACAAGGTCTTGTCATGGTGGTCGGGTGGTTTGAGGAGAGAAATGAAGGAGTGAATTCTAGGTGGGGGAGAGTTACCGTGGCCAGTGGACATTGACTTGGGAACGAGGACACATCCAAAAATCAAATCCATGGACTGTGCCTCCACTCCACCAGGAAAAGAAGTGACTGATTTTGAAATAAGTGACTTATTGCTCTGGCTTTCAGCACTCAGTTCAGTTAAAAATTACTTATCAAATTCCTGTCATGTATCAGGCCTCTGGGAGCTGGAGGTAGGGGAGATTTCTAGGCCTTGGTGATTATGAAGTTGTATGACGCTTGGGAAATACGAAAAGGCAGGAGTTGCTGGCCCCTAGGTGTCTTGTTGTTAGAGCTGGGGATCCTGCACATAGGGGTGGGTACTATGCTTAACTTGGTCTGTGCACCACCCAGGGCCTTGGCCTCTGGTCAGTCACTGGGCTTATGGCCAGCCAGAGCTGTGTACACTGGTATGTCTGTGTGTGTGGCCACAGGACCTGTGTGAGTACCTGTGTGTACTCTACCTGTCTGTGTCTCTGTGTGTGGATGCCTGTGTGCATCTATGAGAACATGCCTATGTGTGCATGCTTGTGTGTGAACCCGTGTGTGTGCCAGCGTGCATCTCTGTGTGTGCATGTGTGTGCCTATGCTTTTGTATGCCTGAGTGTATCTGCATGTCAGTGTCTACGTGCTTGTGTGTTTCTGTGTACATTTGTGTAACTTGCCTATGTATGCATGCTTGTGTAAGACTTGTGTGAATCCTGTGTGTTCCTGTGTGTCAAGCTGTGTGTGAACACCTGTGCCGTGTGTCAGTGTGCTTGCCTTTGCTCACGGACACCCTGCCCCCACTGTCCCCACACTCACTCCCTAGCATTACACAGTCCAGGCTCCTCTGCTGTCCCTCAGCACTCACTATATATATATATATATATA